ATGCTTTTTCTTCAGCAATAGAGCCTTGCGTGGTGAGTGTGCATACAGGCCACGGCGGTTGAGTGCATTACTTATTGTGCTTATTATTTTCTTTGAAACAATTGTACCTGCTAATTCCAGGTCTTTCTGAAGCTCTCCACAAGTGGTCCTTGGCTCTTAGAAAACTCTTCTGATAATTATTTTCTTTTCACCTGGCCTTGGCCGGTTTATGGTGAAATTATGTTCTTTCCACTTCCGGATTATGGCCCCTACAGTGCTCACTGGAACATTCAGAAGTATAGAAATGCTCCTGTAACCAATGCCATCGGTATGTTTTGCAACAATAAGGTTGCGAAGGTCTTCAGAGAGCTCTTTGCTTTTATCCATCATGAAATGTTTCTTGTGTGACACGTTGGTAATGAGACACCTTTTTATAGGCCATCAGTTGGAACTGAACCAACTAATATTAATTTCCACTGACAAGGGCCAGGATTGCTTTCTAATTACTGATAGATTTCTGCTGGTGTCTTGGCTTTCCATGCCTTTTTGCACTTTCCTTTCTTCATGTGTTCAATACTTTTTCCCTGTGTCATTCTACTTTATTACACAGAACTTAATTTCTGAACGTATTTGTTTTGTTTTCTTTGTATGTATGGATTACTTGGGTTGTTACCGACATCTGGTGAATATTTCATCTTAACAGCACCTTTAGAAATATATTTACTGAGAAAAATGGTGACGTGTTCAATACTTATTTTACCCGCTGTATAATATAACATATTATTATGCTACTTTTTATCTTTTTTGTTTTTATTGAGATTGTCCTATTTATCTGTATTTTATTATTATTATTATTAAAATGTTATGATTCTTATACTTTTATTTTCCTTTTTGTTTTACTTAGATTATTGTCTTTATATATAATGGTGCCTATCATTTTACATTTATTAGTATTGTTGTTTTATTATTATAAATGCTATGATTTTCATTTCTTGTTTTCTTGTTATTATTTTAGTCATATTTGGTGGTACTTAAATAATTTGAAAGAACCCTAAATTTTGAACTCATCTAGCCCTATTCCAGTTACTCCTCAAATCATACAGTATGTTGTGGTAAACAGTCAAACAGTAAAACAGATGAAACACATTAGTTGTGACCACTGCCTATCGCAGGCGCATTCTCATTTAAACATACAGGCTCCATATCCATTGACTGTATAACATGAGTGTCATGACCTGTGCATGATTTATGACCATCAGGCTGAGCATCTGACCAGCTGTTACTGGGGCAGCACCAGTAACCCCATGAGCCGGCACGACCCGAGCCTGCCATACCTGGAGCAGTATCGCATGGATCTGGAGCAGTTCAAAGTGCTGTTTGCGCTGCTCTTCCCCTGGGCCTGCGGCACACACACCGACGACCTGGCCCTGCGCGTCTTCCGTCTGCTGGACCACAACGCAGACGCGCTCATAAACTTCAGAGAGTTCATCAGCGGCCTCAGTGAGTGCACTTTATCATGACCAATCCCATGTTTGAAGTTGCAGTCATCTTTTCTTTCCATATTTGTGACCCTGGAGCACAAAACCAGTCTTAAGTCGCTGGGGTATATTTGTAGCAATAGCCAAAGAAATGTATGTGTCAAAATTACCGATTTTTCTTTTATGCCAAAAATCATTAGGATATTAAGTAAAGATCATGTTCCATGAAGATATTTTGTAAATTTCTTACCATAAATATATCAACACTTAATTTTTGATTAGTAATATGCATTGCTAAGAACTTCATTTGGACAACTTTAATGGCGATTTTCTCAATATTTTGATATTGTTGAATTTTCAAATAGTTGTATCTCGGCCAAATATTGTCCTATCCTAACAAACCATACATCAATGGAAAGCTTATTTATTCATCTTTCAGATGGTGTATAAATCTCAATTTCCAAAAATTGATCCTTATGACTGGTTTTGTGCTCCAGGGTCACATATACATAAGTAAAACGGCTTCTGGAACAAGAAAAATGAAGGGCAGGATTTAATTTTTGTCCTTCTGGAATGGATTGTCTTGTTGGATCACTGCAGAAGAGAAGAGATGTTGTTGCAAGAGGGAGGGAAAGTCATTTTGGTTAAAGATGATGATGAGGGAACATGCATTATTTAAAAATAATGATGTGCGTTGATAACTTGTTTATAATAAACTCTGCAATATTCCATAAAAAATAAGATGTTGATTTTGATTTTATGGTGACTTTCCATAAAACTAAGTTATGGAAGTAAAATAAGTTTAGAAGTAAAAATGTCAAAAGCTATATTATGACCAAAAAATCTATAAGTGGACCCTAGGGTAAAAAAAATGTAATATGTGAATATGATTTAAAAATGTAAAAACATTTAAATTCAGACTGCATAAAGTGTATGAGGTTGTTTGCTTTTGTACACATTTAAAACTTGATAACTTGGTTTCTATTGTAGGTGTCCTGTGTCACGGTGACCTGACGGAAAAACTCAAATTTCTGTATAAGATTCACGTACTTCCAGGTGGGTGTAAAAGAGAAAATAACATGTAAAACATTGTTAACATGGTGCTAGAAATGAATGCAGTTCAGACTTGTCCTTGCTAGTTTCTTATTTTCAGCTTTTCATATTCCTGTTTGCCTTTGCACATATATGCATACTGTATATTATGTGTGGTAACTGTAAGATTATTAGTTGTGTTTCTCTTTTGTGAGCGGATAAAAAGCAGAAATGAAAGTGAAGACGGATGTTTTCAGTTACTTTACGTTGTCACGAACATGTCTGGGTCCAATTTAACCAACAAATCAAAAGAATAGTCCTTAAAGAAGTTTGAAGAAAATGCAGCTTAATTATAATGTCCAGTTACATGTTCAGGGTGTTTTGTGATTTGGTGTTATTACCTGAAATAGACTGAGCTCTAGAAGAGACTGAATGTATTTGTTGTTCTCAGAGTTGCACCATGAGCAAGAGGAGCCCGACTCGGCGTGTGAAGCTACGCAGTATTTTTTTGAGGACATCACCCCAGAGACCTCCAGCGGTACTGCTGCATGCTCACACTTAACATTCAAAATAGGTTGTTGCACTGAAATTGCAGTGAAAATTATGCTTGATGCCTAGTCCAGAGACTGTGATCACTGGTGCTGATGCTTTGACCTCTCGTTGATAGGCCTCGACCAAAAGAACAGAGCCGAGAAGGACGATGGTTTTGTAGGAGTCACCTTTAAAAGTGAAAAAGGTGGGAGAAAACATCCCCTTCTTTGAATCAGAGCTGATGTTTGATGTTGGAGAGCTGTTTAAATGTGCAACACTCTGTCTTCTGTGTAGTTAAGAAAATGCACACTCCAGATTACCGCACGTACATGCGCCTGTGGAACCAGGAGACCAAAGCAAAGTTAGAGAACATGAAGGATCTGCCCAAACTCAACCAGGTACATCTGGAGACCAGCCTAAGTTACTTCATCAGTGTAGCTCCTATTACAACAACATGAGTCTCTATTCACAACCCATCAAATGTAGAGAGTAGTCACTTCAGAGGCTGAACATAAACCTTTTCTTTCTTTGTAGTGCATTGCACAATGAGACCAAAAATGTGAATTAAATAAAGAGATAATTTAAATTCATGTTCACATAAACCTGATAAACTGTCAGTGGAAAATGTGTTTAAAAATAGCTAGTATATATTGCTTTTTACATTGAAATATTTTGAATCTACTTTACAACAGCTACTTTTTTTTGGTTAAAATAATGGTTTCTCTGATTTCACAAAAAAAAAAAAAAAACATAAATATGCAATAACTAATGTATATTGTCAAGTATGTATATGAAATAATCAAAAAAAATTATATAGTAACAAACAATGTTATATATAATTATTTAATTCTAGTAGTAGTAGTATAGATTATTTTTAATGGAATTAATTTTTTTAGGTGCAACTTTATATAATTCAGGTTTTATATACATTTAAAGTCAAAAGTTTACATACACCGTGCAGAATCTGCAAAATGTTAATTATTTTACCAAAATAAGAAGGATCATTCAAAATGCATGTTATTGTTTATTTAGTACTGAGCTGAATATTTCACATAAAAGATGTTTACATATAGTCCACAAGAGCAAATTATAGTTGAATTTATAAAAATGACCCCGTTCAAAAGTTTACATCTTGATTCTGAATACTGTGTTGTGACCTGAATGATCCACAGCTGTGTTTTTTTGTTTAGTGATAGTTGTTCATGAGTCCCTTGTTTGTCCTGAGCAGTTAAACTGCCTGCTGTTCTTCAGAAACATCCTTCAGGTCCCACAAATTCTTTGGTTTTCCAGCATTTTTGTGTATTTGAACCCTTTCCAACAGTTACTGTATGATTTTGAGATCCATCTTTTAACACTGAGGACAACTGAGGGACTCATATGCAACTATTACAGAAGGTTCAAACGCTCTCTGATGCTCCAGAAGGACAAACCATGATCAGCTGACCAAAGTACTTTACAACATCAACTAAAAGAAGCAAAAGAGTATAAAAATAAAAAGATAAAATCGTAGAAAAAGGCTTTAAAAAAATATTTATTTAAAATAGTGCTGTCAAACGATTAATCACGATTAATCGCATCCAAAATGAAAGTTTTTGTGTACATAATATGTGTGTGTATTTGTGTTTATATTTGTTATGTATATATAAATACACACACATGCATGTATATATTTAAGAAAAATATGTTACGTTTGTACTACTGTAACAAAAACTTTTATTTTTGATGTGATTAATCGCGATTAATCGTTTGACAGCACTAATTTAAAAATAAACAAGTAGCTCAGGTTTGTTTATTCACCGGTAAAATCTGACTCTGTTATGATCAGTGTTGGGGAGTAACTAGTTACATGTAACAGAATTACATAATTTAATTACAAAACAAATGTAACTATAATCTGTTACAGTTACTGAGAAAAAATGTGTAATTAAATTACAGTTACTTATGAAAATGTTAACAATTACAAAGGGGGTTACATCTGAATATTTTCTTGATTGATTTCTTTCCCAAATTGCATTGACTGCTCTAAAATATGAGACACCAATGTTTCAGGAGTTTCAGACACAGAATATGACACATGCTTATTTGATAACTGATTTTTTTCATATTTGGGTTAATGTATATGCTTTATTTTTTTAATTAAATGTTCTTTTCCCCAAGGTATTATTAGATGGCAGTGTTTCCTGTCATAGCTATGCAAGGATTTGATTTCAAAAACAGTATCATAGCTATTAAACTATTTCTTATGATTTTAAATCTGTATTTACCTCGGAACGATCACAAAGTAAAAAGACGTGTTGTTGTGGTGGCTGTGCTTAAATAAAAAATAAAATAAATAATTATTATCTTAATTCAGGCGATGAAGGATTTCGAAAGTCTGACAGTAAGCAGTGTTGAGTACTACTGTAAGGTTAACCCCGCCTGCTTTAAAAAGCATTTTTGAAAATGATTAACGGTTTATAAAATAAAAAAATAGACATTTAAATGAAGAAAAGCAATCAAATGTAATCAGTTACATTACTGTAATAAAGTAATTGAAATAGTTACAGTACTTATTACATTTTGAATAGGGTAACTTGTAATCTGTAACCTGTTACATTTCCAAAGCAACCTGTCGTCTCTCCTTCTTCAGAGTCAGTTCATCGAGCTGTGCAAGACTCTCTATAACATGTTCAGCGAAGACCCCAGCGAGCAGGAGCTGTATCACGCCACGGCTACGGTCACCAGCCTGCTGCTGGAGATGGGAGAGGTGGGCAAGCTCTTCTGTAGTCCGGCTCACAGGACAGACGAGGAGGACGAGGACGAGCGAATCCCGCCGAGCAGGAGCAAGCAGGAGCGCCATCATCTGGAGGACTCCTCACCCAAAGACTCGGCCACGTCCTCCGCCATGCTCATCTCCGACGACGAGACCAAAGACGACACCTCCGTGTCCTCCTACTCCGTCCTGAGCGCCGGCTCGCACGAGCTTCAGTGCGAGGACATCGCGGAGGACACCGTGCTCATACGCAGCGGCGCAGCTGCCGCCGGGCATCATGGGAGGAGCGGCTTGCCTCACAGCGCCAGCATCGATAAGGACTGGGCCATCACTTTTGAGCAGTTCCTGGCCTCAGTGCTCACCGAACAAGCCCTGGTGCAGTACTTTGAGAAGCCTGTGGAGATCGCCGCTCGAATAACCAACGCCAAGAACGTTCGCAAGGTGGGACACCAACACATGTCCGTCAGTGACTATGAGATCTCGCTATCGGGCTAAAAACGGTTACCTCTGCGTTCAAAACTGTGTTTGGGGGTTAAAGGAGTAGTCATCCAAAACATACGATTTGGGCATCATTTACTCGCTTTTATGTTCCAATCCTGACTTATTTTTCGTGAGAAGTTAATGCTAGTTCCTCCATACAGTGAAAGTAGATGGTGACCATCTCTGTCGAGCGAAAACATGACAAGAAGCACCATAAAAATAGACTTGGACACTACATAGTGAGTTTTCTGAAGCCATATGCTAGCAACTTAAAGTTCATATGTTTTTTCCCTTACAAACCTCACATTTTATGACTTTAGACATTTTATAATAAAAATAATGGCCACTTCTATGATGTTTCATTGTCAGCTTGAAATGTTATAAGCACTGTTTGATTTTATATTTTATACGAGGCGTGCTGTTTTTGCAGCAAACGGTTTCACACGAAAACCCATGATTGGTGTGACTTAGCGGTTTCCAGCAGTAAATCTCAATATCAAATGACATAATATAAGACTTATTCACTATGTATTGAGTTTTTTAAGCCATATGCTAGCACATAACAACTTAAATTTAGTGTGTTTCTCACATAAGCCTATTTTTAGACTGTTTTGTAATAATTAGCCACTTTTATGATGCTTCGTTGTCATTTTTTGGAGCTCGAAATCTTCCTCAGGAGGTCAAAATGGTTTATTTTACATTTTATGCGTATTTTCACTGTTTTCTAGCAGTGAACCTAAACGTCCAATGAGATAACATACTTGTGCACTATTTAATGTGTTTTCTGAAGCCATACGCTAACAAATAACAACTTACATTTCCGTATGTTTCTCACAAAACCTATTTTAGACGTTTATTGGCCATTTATATGATGTTTTAGTGTCCCTTTGGAGCTTGAAATCTCCTTTCCCCATTGTATGGAAATGAGCAGCCTGGACATTCGGCTAAATATCTCCTTTTGTGTTCTACCTTAAGAAATAACCTCATGCGGGTCTGGAACGCCACAAAGGTCAGCAAATGATGACAGAACTTTTATTTTTGGTGAACTGTCCCTTTGACTAAGCCTGATCTGATCTCTTAAATCAGCGGCAAGCTTCAAAGGCTTGATGCTCGCGTGAGCTCGTTAGGGAACGGACAGTAACGAGTTTTCCCGGAGGCTTGTCTTTGATCTGAGGACAGAGGACAAAGTCTGAGAGGACCTGTTGTATACTACGATGCGCTGGATGTACTTTATATACAGAAATGGTTACTAATAATATCTAATACAGTTAGACTGTTTATCATAGTAATCGAGTCTAGAATAGCTCACTAGTCCTGATTGGGATAAAACACGTTCTTAATCTGTATTATTGTTTGATGTTGATGATTGAAGTTACTTAAGAAGCAAAACTGTGTGCACAAATTCTTAGGGGGAAAAAATGTTCATTAAAATATTTATGCTAAAAACAAGAACAAAAACACACATTTTTTAAATAGTGTATTTGTATATACAATACAGGTAAACTTTACATTTATTTTACATTATAATATATTCTATAATAACAGCCTTATGCAATCTTATGTGGTGTTGCTTCTCAAGTATCTTCTCAAGATTTCGATATTTTTTTCTTTGAAATAAGGCGAGAACTTTAACGTGAGAGAGTGTTTACAGGGATAGTGTGGAGAAACGTCTGTGGTATTTAACACTGGGATGTTCGATGTGTCTGGGATTGTTGGAATGACGTTTTCTAAGTCATCTGTAATTTCCCAGATTTCTCATTTCTCTCTTCCTCTCTCAATTCCTTGCACACCTGCACTTTGGGTTTTTCTTCTTTGTAAATCGTGAGGATGTTCATAACCTGTCAGCGCTGAAATATCAGTCCAGCTGTGCTTGATATCTGATTTCTAGTGTTTGCTGAAGACTGATTGTGTACAGTTTTTATTTGACCGTGTTCTCACCAGGCATGTGGCATGTCTGTGCACCTTCTCGTAAGTTATTGTTTGATTGTGTTTTTTTAAATAGACGAGCTTGTACTTTATTTCGTGCTGCTGTTTTTAAGTTGACGTTTTAATGTGAATGGTTGAACTCGACCTGTAAATGATTGAGATCACTTCCAGCGATTAAAAGTTTAAATGGAAATATCCTATCCTGTTATCAAAAACTCTTCTGTTTCATTTATTGTTTACTGTATTGCAGTACAAAACCTGGGGTAAAGCTATTGAAAGCGTTTTTTGTTGTTGTTGTTGTTGAGATAACATACTTGTGCACTATTTAATGTGTTTTCTGAAGCCATACGCTAACAAATAACAACTTACATTTCCGTATGTTTCTCACAAAACCTATTTTAGACGTTTATTGGCCATTTATATGATGTTTTAGTGTCCCTTTGGAGCTTGAAATCTCCTTTCCCCATTGTATGGAAATGAGCAGCCTGGACATTCGGCTAAATATCTCCTTTTGTGTTCTACCTTAAGAAATAACCTCATGCGGGTCTGGAACGCCACAAAGGTCAGCAAATGATGACAGAACTTTTATTTTTGGTGAACTGTCCCTTTGACTAAGCCTGATCTGATCTCTTAAATCAGCGGCAAGCTTCAAAGGCTTGATGCTCGCGTGAGCTCGTTAGGGAACGGACAGTAACGAGTTTTCCCGGAGGCTTGTCTTTGATCTGAGGACAGAGGACAAAGTCTGAGAGGACCTGTTGTATACTACGATGCGCTGGATGTACTTTATATACAGAAATGGTTACTAATAATATCTAATACAGTTAGACTGTTTATCATAGTAATCGAGTCTAGAATAGCTCACTAGTCCTGATTGGGATAAAACACGTTCTTAATCTGTATTATTGTTTGATGTTGATGATTGAAGTTACTTAAGAAGCAAAACTGTGTGCACAAATTCTTAGGGGGAAAAAATGTTCATTAAAATATTTATGCTAAAAACAAGAACAAAAACACACATTTTTTAAATAGTGTATTTGTATATACAATACAGGTAAACTTTACATTTATTTTACATTATAATATATTCTATAATAACAGCCTTATGCAATCTTATGTGGTGTTGCTTCTCAAGTATCTTCTCAAGATTTCGATATTTTTTTCTTTGAAATAAGGCGAGAACTTTAACGTGAGAGAGTGTTTACAGGGATAGTGTGGAGAAACGTCTGTGGTATTTAACACTGGGATGTTCGATGTGTCTGGGATTGTTGGAATGACGTTTTCTAAGTCATCTGTAATTTCCCAGATTTCTCATTTCTCTCTTCCTCTCTCAATTCCTTGCACACCTGCACTTTGGGTTTTTCTTCTTTGTAAATCGTGAGGATGTTCATAACCTGTCAGCGCTGAAATATCAGTCCAGCTGTGCTTGATATCTGATTTCTAGTGTTTGCTGAAGACTGATTGTGTACAGTTTTTATTTGACCGTGTTCTCACCAGGCATGTGGCATGTCTGTGCACCTTCTCGTAAGTTATTGTTTGATTGTGTTTTTTTAAATAGACGAGCTTGTACTTTATTTCGTGCTGCTGTTTTTAAGTTGACGTTTTAATGTGAATGGTTGAACTCGACCTGTAAATGATTGAGATCACTTCCAGCGATTAAAAGTTTAAATGGAAATATCCTATCCTGTTATCAAAAACTCTTCTGTTTCATTTATTGTTTACTGTATTGCAGTACAAAACCTGGGGTAAAGCTATTGAAAGCGTTTTTTGTTGTTGTTGTTGTTGTTGTTTTTTTAATATATTTGTTTATTTTGTAAAGTGTCAGTGAAAGGATCCTCAGAAACTGTTTTATTTAACATTTTATATAAGGTTTGCATTTTTTGCAACACTTGGACATGCTGTGATTTCTATCAATAAACCTTAAACATCAGATTAAATGACATTTCAAATGAAATCTTAAGTTTTAATAAAATAACATTAAGCCAGAATGGGTAACTGAAATAAAACAGTCACAGAAGTAACTAGCTAGTTGATGCTGAAATTTTGGCTAGTAGTTCGTAATAAACTTATTTTTCTGATCAATTTAAATTTATTTTAAATTAATAAATTAATTTATTATTAAATTTGATGAATAGTTAACTTGTACATTTGCATAAACATGGAGAAAATAGAAAAATATTTTTGTTTATTAAAGTTAAATGTTATTTAATGTATTTTCTACAATGAATATTATTCAACACCAACTCTGTATTTGTATTTATTTTTATTTACTTTTTTATTTTTTAACATTTCATATGAGATTTGACATTTTTCATTTATTATTTACTTTTTGTTTGTTATTTACATTTTATTTATTATTTACTTTTTATTTAACCCCAGATAAATTATTATTATTATTATTGTTGTTATTGTTACATTTTTATTACTTTTTATTATTCATTTTATTTTATTTACTTTTGTTGTTAACTTTATTTATTTGTTTATTTCATATGAGATTTGAAATGTAAAATCTCATTAGTAATAGTAGTATAAGGAAAACATTTCTTTGTTCTTTTCTTATTTCTTTGTTTTTATTGTTTGTTAAGTTTGTTCTCGAGGGCGTTGTTTTTCTGCTTGGTCATGCTGAATGAGGCTGTTGTTGAGTGTTTATCCACTAGAGGCAAGTAGAGCTGTGAGACTCTGTCATATGCACAGACTGGACTGAGGCCTTGTGTTTGCTCAGAGCTCAGGGCTGTAGCGCAGCGGTGTGTCCTGAATGACGTTTAGAGGGTGTGAGCACAGACGTCCAATCACACGCCGCTGTTCTCCGTTTGGCTCAGTTCTGGAGATACTTGGCACTCACATACTGACAGCATGTGGTCTCAGTCATCACTGGGCACTTTGCTTGCGAAAACTCTTCTCTCAGCCTCAAAATGACCTTTCTTAGGATCAAAATATCCTGTAAATAAAGCTATTTGCTACTTACTAAAGCACTTTCCCATTACTAAGCACTTGATAAGTCAGCTGTTTATCTGTTCCGGTTATCCGCTTACCTGTCAAGTATTGTTTTATCTTTAACCTTCTATCTTTTGTACTCGATCCAAGTATTGTGCCATAGATTAGCAATGCAAACAGTAAAAGCCCTGTACATTTGCCGTTTATGAATTAACCAATACAATCAAAGTCTAGTGCAATACTGCACAGTCGACAACCTGCAGAGTAGCACTCTGTCGCAATATAATACTGTCAGCTTCATTAATGCGCTGGTGTGGGGTTTTATTACACAGGAAGCTGGGTTTGAAATATTGCATTCAATTTTTTACAAAATGTTACATTTTAAGATATTTATTTAAATGCCTTTATGTATTTTATTTTTTAATTGTTCATTTATTTATTCATTTAATATTTACTTTTTTATTATTCATTTTTATTTACCATTATTTTTATTAACGTTTTTATTTATTTCATATTAGATTTTTGCAACCCCATATAAATATTATAAATATAAAATATAAATAATAAATATCATGCAAATAATAATGTAAATACTACTACTAATAATTATTATTATTGTTATTTGCATTATATTTATTATTTATATTTTACTGTTTGCTTAATTGTTTTTTTTATTACTCACATTTATTATTTAGTTTTTTATTTTTACCTTTCTTTTTATTAGCTTATTTATTTATTTCATTCGAGATTTTTATTATTGGTATTATTTACATTATTTATATTATTATTATTTACATTATAATTTGTATGTATTTACAAATTTAAAAAAATTAATTATTTTTATG